CTGAGCTCTGGAGATGGAACATGACCTGTCCAAGGTTTCAGGGCTCAAGGGGATTCTCAGATGCCAAGTTTGCTGTGACATTATCCCCAGGTTTCCCCTGGGCTACAATCAGCTCTTTGCAGACAGCAGCTGGTTGGGGTTACCCCTGGCCCTCAGGCAGCAGTACAGGGTCGTTCTAACACAGCAGCTCGTACACATTACTTAGGCCTAACGTGAACCTGCCTCGTGTATACATGTGTCTCAGGCTTAGACACGTCCCTAAAGAGGGATGATTTCAGGACTCTGCTGACCAGCTCTGAGCAGGAACTCTTCCTGCCTGTGACATGATGTGGAAACAGATTATGCAACAGCCAGGGATGCCATGACACGTGGCCATGCTATTTTCTTCCTGTGTATCTATGACTGTTCACACAATGACTACTGCTGCCAGAGGCCATGACCTACAGGCCCTGCCCTGGGGGCTGTATACACCGTCCTACCAAATCTCATCCTCAGGGATTACCAGCCCCTCTCTACAGGTGGGAACTGAGGATCGATCGGGAAGGTTAAGGGTTTGCCCAAGGTCACACATGAGTGCTGGAGCAGGACTCATTTCCATCTGGAGGGTTCTGCCTCAGCCTAGCTCTGCTGGCATGGGAATAGTAATTAACAAATGATAATGGTTTTCTCTATGCAGGGCACAGAAGTGGGGGTGTCCTTAACCCCCCCCGCAGCCCCATGGCTCTACAGGCTTAGAGATGCACAGTGACGTTTCCAGGTAGAGAAGGACAGTCAAAGGTAAAGGCACGAGTGAGGAGCTTTGGCTGGGTACTCCGCATGCCTGACTTTGAGAAAACTGCTTAGAAAACGTTTTAGGGCCGTGAGGTGGCTCATCGGGTAAAGGTGCTTGAGACCAAGCCTGACGGCCTGAGTTCTCTTCCCAGGATCCACATGGTGGGAGAGAGAACCAATTCACACAAGTTGTCCTCACACTTTACACATAACACCCCTGCCACATGAACAAATGAAAATTTAATTTACAATTTTTTTAAGAGAAGGGACTTTTTGACTGTTTATTTCTGAAGTGGTAAACCAAGGCCTGGGAGTGTAGCTTGGCAACAGGGTGCTTGCCCAGCATGAGTGAGGTCCTGCCTTCAGCCCCCAGCACATCAACAAGCAAATTAATATTTGGTAAACCACATATGACTTAAAACTTCCCTTTTAACTCCTCAGTGCCCGATTCGATGATGTCATGGGCAGTCTTTGCTGGGTAGCCACCACCACCACCCACCCCAGAGCCTTTCCTCTTTCCAAATGGAGACTTTGTACCTACAAAACACAGCTCCCTGCTTCCCTCTGAGCAGCCCCTGTTCCACCTTCTTGGGACTTGACCTACACAGATGATTCAGGATTTGCTGTATTCACTTAGCACAGTGCCTTCAGGGCTGTCTTTGTGCATCCCATTAGAATTTCCTTCCATTTGGAGACTGATGGGAATCCATGGTAATGGGCCACACTGGCTTGGCCCTTTGTCTGTCTACTGTAAACAGTGTCTTTGAGAAAGTGTGTGCACTTGGGCAAGTCACGAGTATGCTGGCCACCTTCTTTCCTGGACCTGAGCTCCAGCCTGGCAGGAGGGGGTGTGTCTCTACTTGCCTGATGAGCTAGACACTAGAGAAACTGACTTCCCCTCTCCTCAGGGGTTGAGATGACAAATTAAGTTCTCTCTCTCATCCCCACAGATCCCATGAGATGATGCCATCATGGGTCGCCAACTGAGAGATATCTGAATTCTCACAACCTCTTTGCCGGTCTTGTCGCTATTCATGTCCCCTCCAACACATCCTCCCGATCACAGACAACACAGCCCACCATGTCACCTCTGGCTTTACCTCACCACTCAATCACACCATCATTCTTTTAAAAAAGTTGTTCAAATGAGTCCTTCAAATGAGTGCTGGAGTACTCTGCTAGCATCCTCAGGCACCCAGGGCCTTTCTCTGCTCCATTTTCAACACTGTGCTCTTATCCCTTGGGATTCATGGGGATGTGGTCCAGGATCAGCTGTGGGGACCTCAATTCCAGGATGTTCACGGCTCTTGTGGAAATTGGCATGATATTTACATAGAACATGCTCCTGGATATATGAGGTCATCTCCAAATCATTTACAATACCGAATGGAATGCAAATGCTATATAGAGAATTGATATACTGCATTGTTTAGGAAATTATGGCAAGAAAATGTCTGTACATGCCTAGTACCAATACAGCATTCCCTGGCATTTTCAGTGTGTGATTGGTTGTTCTCACAGATGCCAACCTAGGAGCACGAGACTGATCACATCAATTCTATGCATCATTTTCTCTCTTGTCTGTCTCCTGCCCTTTCAGCTCCACACCCTCTATAGAAAACACAGTTCCCAAGGCAGGGGGTAATAGTGTCCTGTGCAGAGTACAGCTTTGTGTGAGTGACCAGTGGGCATCCTCCAGCCCCACCTCCTCCCACACTCCTGTTTATACTCTAGCCACACTGTTCTGCTTGAACACCAGCCCTGGGCTGTGCACTGTAGCTTCTGCCTGGAGTGCCCTTTCTCCTACCATACTCTGTTGCTCTGCTACCTCAGTGGCTCCTTTTGCTAGGCTCTCACCACACCCCACTTTAGCCCAGTTTTGAGCTTTACACACTCCATTGCAGCTGTCCCTTTACCTGTCTTGATCAGTTTTCCAACAACTAGTTCTCTAAGGACAGGATGATATTGGTAGCTCTCAGATCCTCAGGGCCAGGACTAGGCTCATTGTGGATGAAAGAAATGTCTACTAAAAGGAAAATGAGCTGACTTTGTGAATCCCAGCTATTCCCTCCTGAAACAACACCAGGACCATTCCACTGGATTGGACAAATCGTGTGCCATGAACATGTGTTTGAACATTTGGTCCCCAGGTAGTGGAACTGTTTGGAAAGAATTAGGAAGTGTGGCCTTGTTGGAGTAGGTGTGGTCTTGTTAGAGGTGTGCACTGGGAGTTGGCTTCGGGATTTCAAAAGCCCATGCCAGGCCCATTCTTGTTCTCTGATCCTTGTGGATCAGATGTAAGCTCTCAGTTACTGCTTCAGCACCATGCCTGCCTACCTGCCACCATGCTCCCCACCATGATGATGATGAACTAACAGTCTGAAACTGTAAGCAAGCCCCGATTAAATGCTTTCTTTGTAAGTTATCTTGGTCATGGTGTCTCTTTACAGCAACAGAACAATAAGTAAGATACTGAGTCAGCACTCAGGTGCAAGGAGTTGGGGTGAGGAATCTTGGGATCATGAGATGCATGGAAAATCTGCTTCCTTTCCTTTAGAAGTCACCCAGAGTCCCCCATCATTTATCCCCTCTGGAGGCTGGGCTGATCAGTGTTGTCCCAGAAAGAGTTCCTGTCTTTTCCTCTCTCATCTATCACATTTTGACAGCATGCCCTTGGTGCACAGAAAACGTCCAAGTTCAGTCTCTTCCCAGAACACACTCTATTTATAATCAGCACGTCGTGAAGTTGAGACTCTCTGAGGATCTTGGGAAGTGGCTGTGCCCATCCCTTGTTTATACCTGAAAACACAGGTTCAGACAGGTTGACTGACTTGTTCACATCACACATCTTGTCAGGAACTTAACTCTCTCTTTCCTTAGTGAACCTATGGGACCCTAGAGAAATCTAGAGTTTTAGTCTGAATCTCATCCTGGCCAACAGAATCACTGAAGAGAAACTCATTTGTAGCCTGCGTCCTTTCCAGCCAGCAGCATCCAGGGATTCAGATGTTAGCGTCTCTGTGGGTACCTTCTCACTTCCCAGCTCCCCCCTTCTAACTATCCTCTAGAAAAATGGCGTGCCATCAGCAGAGCGTGACAATGCCTGCGTCAGTCTCTGCCACTCTCTGTGGAGGAGGAACCCCCTGCCTGCCTCGAAGTAATGGTCCTCTGTGTGGGCCCGGAGCCCCGTCTGTGGACTTACGAGGATGGATAGAGGGAGGCAACAGCGGAAGTGAAGCGGAGCTGGGGCGTGGGGTTTCCAAGTCAGGAAGGCAGGTGAGGGGCAGCCTGGTTGGAAAGGACCCTGGTCCCTGTCTCTTGGCAAGGGAGTCATGAGTCATCTACAGCTTCCAACCGACGAATGCACACGTTCATTCCCAGAGGAAATCATTACTCCTAATTATTATTATTAGGCATAATGACTAATTAGTAAAAATAGCTACCATTTACACAGTGCCAACTTACGGCTGCTTCTTAATGTGTATTTTTCCCTTATTTTACTCTTTCAGGCTTATTTTCTATTTTCCTAATTATAAAGTCAATATGTGCTCAAGGAAAAAAATATCAAAAAGATTCCAGAAAGTAGAAACAAAGGGGGCAAAATATTCACCATTTGGCTCACGGTGAAACATTGGAGGCAATATTAACATGCTGCTTGCTTCCCAGCCTTCCTTCTCCATCCTTCCTCGTGTGTGTGTGTGTGTGTGTGTGTGTGTGTGTGTGTATGTCTGTGTGTGTGTGTGTATGGGTGTGTATGTATGAATTTGAGTGTATGTATGGGTGTGTGTGGAGTGTGTGTGTGTGTGTGTGTGTGTGTGTGTGTGTGTATGAGAGAGAGAGAGGAGGGGAAGGGACGGGAGAGGGGAGAAAGAGAGAGGGAGACAGACAGACATAGATTTAGCACAGTTGATGAAGGAACTGAGGATCCAAAGTCACACAGCAGGAACAGGGACTCTCATCTCTTCCTCTCCTCCTCCTCCATGTTCACAGTCCTCTGCCCACGGCAAGGGTGAACTGGGATTTGTCTGGAGGCTTAGTCTTGATACATAGCCAAGGCTAGCCTCGCAAGGGCTAGGATTACAGGTACTGTGCCGTCACCCCGGCTTAGGTGGGGATGGTTTTCATTTTGCTGCTGTTCCCTGTGGGGTCCCCTGTTCCACACCCTGCTGGGAGAAGCAATGGCGGTAAAGAGACTGACATCCCGACTGTGCCGCTCGCCTCGTCAGTACCTGGCTACGGAAAGCGAGGACCCCTTAAACTTCGATGAAGACATTCTGTCAGAAACTGGAGGGATTCTGTGTTTTCTGCCCATACAGATATCTGGAAAGCTGAAATCAGAAAGCATAAGGAACTATTTTTTTGCAGGCTGCTTTGCATGAGACAGTTGAAGTAAGTTCTACAGAGAGGTCACCCCGGGGTGGGGAGGAGGGGGATGGGGCAGTCTGCATGTCCACAGGCCTGGGTGGCAGGGGGCAGGAAGGACCCAGGGTCCACTTCTCACCAAATGTTTGAACAGAACCAAAGGCACTCAGTGTCCTAATGTTGACGGAGAAGTAGGTGACAGAGCTTATGTGACCAGCACTGGGCACCCACAGTGTCCCCTCCCAACAGGAGCTCACGGCAGGGCAGGAAGGGTCTCAAGGAGCAGTTACTAGGCTGAGGTGTAGTGAGAGGGAGCAGAGCAGAAACTAAACAAAACAAAAGCTCACACACTAAACCCAGAAAGAAACAAATCTCTCCATGTGAGGATACATGGCCCAGAAAAGAGTTCCCGCTGGGATGGGGAGGGACCGACCCCAGGGACCAACTGTTGAAAGGCTTTTGTTATTAACTGAAGCCCTGTGTTCATGAAGTACAATTATAAAGACAAGGAGGAAATCAAGTCGCCTCTTCTTTTATCTCCCAGTTCTTCAGTTTAGCGGCAGCGCATCAGCCACGCTGCTCCCTGGACAGTCCTAGGCTCTTCTAACAGGAAACGCTTTGGGGAGAAGATGGCTGGGAGGCATTTTGTTCCCCCTAAGAGCTCACTGTGCTTGTGTATGAGTCTACGGGCACATGTGTTTGTGTGTGCATACATACGTGCATGCCTATGTGTTTGTGTGTGAACATGTTTGCTTATGTGCATGTTTGTATGTATTTGTGCGTGCATGTGTTTACATATGTGGATGTACGTATGTTTGTATGAACATGTTGTTCCATTTTCTAAAAGCTTCAGTTACCTCTACATGGATAAATCAAGGCTGTTGAACTCTACCCCAGACCTTTGGGAGAGCAGAGAATGCTGGGAACACGGGATGCGGGAGTTCTGCCAGGTTAGAGCATGCTGTGGGCCCTGTGCACCCGCCTCTTCCTCCTGTCCTCAACCCTGCTTTCCTGGGAGCCTCAACCCCAGGCCCGCCATTGTTTTCCTCATCATTTTCTCTCCCGGTCCCTCTGCCTGCCGGTCCCTCTGCCTGCCGGTCCCAAACGGTACGACTCACACATGTGCACGGTGTGGAAAGGGAAGTGTCTGCGGAGGGAGACCTGCAGACACCCCGCCTCCATGAGTGCCCCCCCTGTTAAGGAGCCCTCTTCCCATGGTACCAGGGGGTGCAGTGGCTGTGGGTCACAGACGCCTCATCAGGGTATAGGGCTCTCCCTCGACACCTTAGGAAAGGATCTTTGTGAAGCCAATGCCTATTCAGGGCCACTCAGCAGATTGATTGGGGCCATATTAATTGAATGTGGCCTGGCAATCGGCCTGGATATCAGGAAATGCTTCACGGACACAGAGGGGCCCAGACAGGGCTCCCCGGAGAGTCCAGGAATGCCTGGCTCACGGGCTCTGTGCTCGGGGTCGCTTTGCCTGAGTTTCTACTTCGCTTTTAGCCTCACGCCAGCCCTGTGAGTCAAGACACAGGCCCAGGGAGGTTCAGCATCTCCCTGGCTGGACTTCAAGCCAGAACACAGTCTTCCCTTCTCTGCCCTCTCTGCAGGCCCAGTACCGCCTCATTTCTTCCTCTTCCTGGGGTTCAGCCTTATCGTCAGGACTCCCAGCGCCTCCGTAGCGGCCCTGAGTGACCTTCTCAGCCTGTTTCTCAGTAGCCTCCCTCACCCTCCTCCCTCCTTCTCATGCCCTGTTAACGCCACCCTCACCATCCTGAAGGAGAGGAGCTTGGGGACACAGAGAGGCAGAGAGGGGGGCAGAGAAAAAGAGAAGCTGGGGTTGGGGAAGCGGCCAGGAGGCTGCGGGCTCTAAGACACGTGGGGGCCATGGTGGGTACAGCACAGCTGGCTGAGGTGGGCTGGGAGCAGCAGGTCTTCCGTGGGTGTCTTAGTTTGCTTTTTGTTGTTGTGATAAAAGACTGACCAGGGCCACTTACAGGAGGAAAGGGTCTATTTGGCTTACAGGTTACAGGCCGTCATCGAGAGAAGTCAAGGCAAGAACTGAAGAAGACACCACGCAGGAGTACAGCTTGCTGGCTTGTTTTCCATGGCTTGCTCAGCCTGCTTTCATATACAACCTAGGGCCACCTGGCTAAGGGTGGCCCTGCCTGCTTCCCCATCAGTCATCAATCAATAAAATGCCCCCATAGATTTGCTTACAGGCCAGTCTGATAGGGGCAATTCCTCAACTAAGGTTGCTACTCCCCAGATAACTAAACAGCATGGAGGGCAAGCTGGGACAGGCCGGCCTGAGGGAGAAGGTGGCTGCAGCATGGGCCCCAGCCCTGTGGCTCTAACCGTTCTGCCACACGGTCCTTACTCAAGTACTCGATGGCTTTGTGTATTTGTAGTTCAGCGTGGCTGAAAGATGACTGGACATGGCCCTCCGCGGGCCAGGGACACTTGGCTGCAGGGAAGTGGGAACAGGGCAAGGTGCACGTCCAGGGGGCTGCTGGGCGGGAAGGACTCACACCTGCCCGGTGTTTGTCTTCCGTCTGCTCCTCTGCTCAGCGCCCCTGCCCTGTCCCTGGCGTGCTCAGGGAAGGCTGTGCTGTCCTTGTGCCGTGCCCGCCTCTTGCTCCACAGTGCCGCTCTCGGCGTGTGCTCTGTGAAAGAGCTGCCACCACACCACCATTCTCTCTGGCTCCCGGGCTCCATGTCGGCCAGCCTGGCGCAATCCCCCTGCCTCTGAGCTTGCCTACTGCTTTGCCTGCCAGTCTGTCCTCTCTAGGCTTCCTCATTCTTTGTCCTTTCTTCAGGACGCTTTGCCAAACAACCCCTGACACAAACCATGTTCTCTTAACTCGCTCTGTATCTTGATTATTTTATCTCTGTTTTCTCCCTCCCCATAGCCACTGCTACCAGAACTTTCATGAGATTTGAGGTTTTGCATTTGTTCATTGACATATTCACTGCAGATTTTGGGTAAGGCGCAGCCCAGATACTCAGTATCTCTTGGGTGAATGAACAAAGAAACGGGCATTTGAAACATCATTGCAGCTTTTATATCGATCTTGTTTTGTTTCACAGACAACCTGTGGGGGGAGACAGTATTTCCCCACTTTATGGGGTGAGAAGCAGAAGCCAATGGGTGTTTCGAGAGATCCACATTTGTGCACTTAGCATATGGGATTTGAATCCAGAATAGCCTGTGTTTATTAAGATCTTGTCACCGTAGACAGCACCTCCCGTATCCTAACAGCCAGTGGCCCTGAAGTCAGCTCTAACCAGGGCCTCTTGCCCTCACTCAGCAAAGGGGTCTGTTGCTCTGAGCTTCCAAGAGTATTAAGACACGTTCATGGGGGACACAATTCTGTGACTCTGTATTTCATTTCTCTGAGTGTTTGAAGCTATTCCTGCTGGATCCTGCTGTCACGGCTGAAATTACCTGGCTGTCTAATTCTCACTTGGCTGCCACGCACTCTGTCCTTCTATGTCTGGTCCCTCTTAGGCTCTTTTGTCTTCAGTATTTTGGTACCTTGCTGTTTCTGACCTTTCTACCTGTAGATATTTAATCAGTTCATTATTTTGAGACAGGGTCTCACAGGTAGCCCAAGCTGAATTTGAACTCACTACTTAGACCAAGCTGACCCCCAATTCACAGCAATCCTCCTGCCTCAGTGGGCAGGCTGAGTCACCATACCCAATTGTTTTTATTTATATTCACTGGGTTTCAGTGGGCTTTCTGATAATTTTGCCATTTATTTTTAAGTTTCATTGGGAAATTCACATCCTTAATTCCTCTGAACTCCAATTCTCCAGTCTTCCTGTTGCTTCTCTCTGGACCTCCTCTGAAGGTACCTGATTTTTCCATTCACTGTTTTTCATGAGATTCTTAGTAACCTCTTCAACATGTCTATTAGTTCTTTCATGTCTCTTCATTTGGTCTAATTTGTCTGTCCCCTGAATTTCTATTTTATTCACACTAGTTTTTATTTTTAAAGGTCTGATTTCTTTTTATAAAATCTGACTTATCTGTTTGTTTTTTGTTGTTTGTTTTCAAACTTGCCAACCTGTTTTATTTTTTATTTCTTTAAAGACATTAGGCATATTTATCCTATGATATGTATGCATTAATTGGAATATTCATAGTCATTGTGTAGCTGATTTTCCATTCTGTCATTTTCCCTTTGTTTTTCTTCATTTGGCCTGTTTTCCTGAAGGTTTTAAACAACACTTTCTTTTCTGTCTCAGACCTACCTTCCAGGGCCTTCACTGTTTTAGATTGCTTGAGTTTCAATGTCAAGACCATTTCATCAGTCAGGTTCCTGGAAACACCAGTGACTCACAGCAGCTTCACCTGAAAATGTCCTGCTTTTCAAGCCACACAGATAATGTGAATTCTAATCCCAAACTCTCATGAAAGAGGGTTTATGGATTCTTTTTTTTTAAAGTTTTATTTATTATGTATACAGTGTTCTGTCTGCACATATCCCCACAGGGCAGAAGAGGACACCAGATCTCATTACAGATGGTTGTGAGCCACCATGTAGTTGCTGGGAATTGAACTCAGGACCTTTGGAAGAGCAAGCAATGATCTTAACCTCTGAGCCATCTCTCCAGCCCCCGGGTTTATGGATTCTTAAAGATGTAGTCATTACTCCTTGTCCCAGGACCAGAACACGCCAGTCAAGTGTTCATCCATTGCCCACCATGGGTATGTCTTCCCCAGTTCACTCACTAGAGCTGGGATCCCTCCGGGGTCCTAACTCCATGTGGGCATCTCTGGTCTGACTCCTCCACTGTTTGGGTTGTAAGTTTTATCTCTCTTCTCCAAACATCAGGCCTAAGCTCCAGGCCACCAGAGATGTGCCCAGAGGAGAAGCCCAGTTTCCACACCTGGTACTGCCCCTGCTTGTTCAGACCTCTTTACACTAAGAAACCATTTAAAACATTATCTGGC